TAGTAGTAGTAGTAGTAGTAGTAGTAGTAGTAGTAGTAGTAGTAGTAGTAGTAGTAGTAACAAGGAAGTGATGTTGTGTTAGTAGTTCTAGTAGAAGTGGTAGTGGCTGTCGTAGCGACTACAGTAACTTTGTAGTAGATGAAGTATAAAATAATTTTCAATTTAAAAATGAAAAGAAATTTTATCATCAGTAGCATGAGTAGCGGGTGTAATGCTATTTATTTTCAACCAGCAATGAACAAGCAGTGATCGCAAAGCAAAATTTAATAAATTTTCAGTATATATAACAATTCGAACAATAACAATAAAAGCTATTAAGTTAATGGAAACTTAAATCTTATATCTGAAATTGAAAAAACTTGAAATATTGATTGACAAACCAAAAAAATAACCTACAGAAAAAAATGTTGAAAAATGAATGCAGTCAATATGGAACTTGTAGCTGCAGGCAAGCTGACATGCAAGCCACATACTGCCGTCAGGGGTGCTTCAAATAATTTTTTTAATCAATTTCTTTGCTTTGATTTTTATTAATTTTTTAATATTTTTGTATGATGGTTGTTTGTTGTTTTTTTTTACTGAGTTTAATTTTTCTTTTCAGCGCTGACCTCTTTGGTGGCAGGCAGGTCCGACGCTGCCGACAGTGCGTGTCAAACAATTCAAAAAAGGAATAATTGAAGACGCCACAAATTGATGTGAAATCTGCAAGGAGAGAGGATTGAAACTAATGAGAATAAATAAATAGGAAACTGGAAAACCGTAGAAAAAAGTAATGAAAACAAAAATTTTTGGCAGTAAAGCAAAAAAAAAGACAAAACCGAATAAGCTAAGATGGAAGTGGAATAATGAGAAAGACTGATGTTACGAGGCAATCAAGTGGAGAGGATATCAATTGAGTAAAAGTTTTAAAAAAATTTCCGCCAAATAGAAATGAAATTGATTAAACATGACATTTGACTACTAGTCCATAAGCTACTCGATAATTTCAACATAGTCATCCTATCGTCTTAATTCGGTTTGGAAACAAATAAAATATATCGTATCGTATCGTATCGTATAGAAATAAAAAATTTATCTGAAAAAATGTGTTGAAAAAAAACACAGAAGTGTCTAAAGAAAAATGTCTTATCATCCGAGAGGCATGTCAAATCCCTGACAGCCGTGACGTGGACCGCCAGATCACGTGACGTGCATGACGTCATCTCGAGCAGGAGATATTGAAATATTTCCTGCGCATGTCACTTAAGTCCTTCCGCGAGATCAAAAAAAGAAATTTTTTAAATTGTTATTTTCAAACTGTTGGATGATGAGTTGCCTGAGGTTTTGCTAAGTTTATTTCAATCACATCCGATGCTGTGAGTGGAAACTTCGATTAAAGACCACACAACAGATGTTGTCGCAATGCTAGTGTCACTAAGTAACGATTTTGATTACTTAAAGTTTAAATTTTAATTGTTTTAAGACCACACAACTGATGTTGTTGCAATGCTAGTGTGACTGAGTAACAATTTTGGATAGTTCGATCGTGTGAATAAATTTTAATCAAGCTTTCAAGCAGAATTTTTTTTTAGCAAATATTCATAAAAATTCAAATAGGGTTTATATTATTTCACGCTCTGAATTGAGATTGCCTGCTTCCATATCTGTCACAAACTTGGTCACCACCATCATATTCACCATCGTCACCACTATTTTTGCAATCATTGTGGCAGTACAGCCATCATTATCAACATCATTTCAAATTTTTCAATATTAACATCTTCATAATCGTCACAGCTTCATTATCATCATCAAAAACAACATCATCACCACCATCATCAGCATCATCATCATCACCATCGTCATCATCACCACCATCATCAACATCATAATCATCACCATCGTCATCATCACCATCGTCATCATCAACATCATCATCAACATCATCATCCACAACAACAACATCATCATCATCGTCATCATCAACATCATCATCATCCACAACAACAACAACAACATCATCATCATTATCCTCCCATTCAACTTCATCACAATTAGCATCACATAAGTAGCACTATAATCTTTGTAATCCTTAGCACTATTCTCAAAATCACCATCACCAATACTACCACCATCACCACCACCATCGTCATCAGAAGCACCAACCTTGAAGAATTCCTTGGTGGACCCGGAATCGACCGTCCCATAAAGAATTTCCCTCTGCCTCGCCAGGTCCTCCGCCCCATTTATCGGGGTCAACATTCGCTCGACCTTGAGGTCAAAGGTCACATTCGATTATTGCAATAACTTAGAGGCGTGTAACTTTGTCGCGTCGTACATTTTTCATTTGCGGTTAACGTGAAAGCCGAGGTGGGATTGAAATTCAAAAGTTAAACTGATGTGTGGCCAACGACCGGACAGGTTAAAAAATCAAATTGAAATAAAATAGAGAGTTCAAAGTTCAAACAGCTTCTCCAAAACTGCTCACCGTTAAGAAGGCGGCCAGGTTGGCGGTGTAGGACGAGATGATGATGAGGGTGAAGAACCACCAGGCACTGCCCACGATGCGTCCTGATAATGATCTGTGCGGTGATAATGATGGTGGTGGAGGAAAAGGTGGTAGTGGCTATGATGATGATGATGGTGGTGGTGGTGGTCATGGTGAAAATAGTGGTATGATTTTTGGTATCACATTTTTGGTGATGATGATCATCATCATTATGATAGTGATGACCATGACAATGTTAATTGGATGATGATGATGACAATGATGATGATGACCGTGAAAATTATAAAAATAACATGATGATGATGATTATGATGATGATGACGATGATGATGATGATGATGGTATACCGTGTTTTCAAGCCTTTTGCTTTTATATTATCGCTTTAACTTTTGAACTAACAAAATTTTTCAGAATAAAAAAATTCAAATTCTCTCTTAGCACTAACTACGAACAGTGCAATGCTGAATATTACTGCACGCAACAACAACAACTACCACTACAACAACAACTACTACTACTACCACTACAACAACAACTACTACTACTACAACTACTACTACCACAACAACAACAACTACTACTACTACTACTACTACAACACGAGAACATGAAACAAAATGTTGAACACAACGTTCGAATGTTGTAGTCTGTAGTCGAAATTTTTTTTGAAAAATATTCTGAAAAAAAAGTTAGACTCCTTTGTTCAGAATGCATTTAGAGGAATATTATTAGAGTGCTTCATAATTTGTAGACGTAAAAATATTTGGATAATTTGAAGCTATGGAGTGGATTTGTTTGAAACCATTCGGTTCTAATTTCTGAAAAAGCCTTTTCAAATAATGAACAAAGATAATTATTTTTGTCGTCTTGTTGAAAATATTTCAAACTCTTAAATTCACTTTTTTTAATTTTGTTGAAATTTAATAAATTATATTAAGCAAATCTAGTTCATCAATTTCAATTAATTAGAACGGAAATAATGAAAACAAAATATTAAAAAAATTATGAAGATAAATGTACATCAACAAAGGATTTGCTAGAGCGTTCATTCGACTAGTGATCAAATTTTATTCAACCAACCCAAAAACACAACAGGACCAGATCTAACATTAATCAAAACAACAACATTATTCATGACAATAACAACAACATCAATAACAACTCCATCTAAGAAAATGTTAGCCACAACACCAACAATTGTCTCAAACTTCAACTTTGTTAAAGTTAAAACATAGCAACAAAGCAACATCAAAAACAGTGTCACCGGCCAGGCACAGCGATGAAAAACCATAAACCAACAACCTCAAGAAAGCTATCAACCAATGAAAAAATGCCGCAACAACCAAAACAACAATCAACAACTACAAAAACCAAAAACAAAAAACAACAACAGTAAACAACAACTAACAACAAAAAGAAAACCCCAATTCCACTGACCTCGGGCAGACATCACAGCCTCTCCTCATAAAGGCCCCCAGCGAGAACCACAGACTGTTGAGGAGGGTGAAGTCATTGGTGAAGGAGAGCCCTCCCTGGTAGCTCGTTTCCTCGATCTGCCACTCATTGGGAGAGAACCTCGACACCAGAAAGAGAACTAGGCTGACCCCGAGATAAGAGATGACGATGCAGTACCAGATGGATTGCGACAGTGGCTCCATGAAGCTGAACACACCTTTGAGTTTCGAATTTTGAATTAAAGTGCTGTTGTTTTTATTGCGCGTCATCTTTCGAATCACCAAAACTCTATTTATTATTGTGTTTCTCATTCATTCTCTGCTTCTTTTCTCTTTTTACTCTTCCTACCAAACATCATTTTAGACTTGAAATCACATTCTGTCATAATAGTCTGTTTCTTTAAAAAAAAAAACTAAATTGAAATGTCGCACTTTCTTTTCCTCACCATCTTTTTTTCATTCATTTTTTACTATTTCTCACTTTATTTTTTCTCTTTTTGGTTTATCAATTTAGTTTTTATGAATCTTGGCCTTAATTATTTGTAACAATTATTTTGTATAATTTGGAATATAAATCTATACGATGCTAATGTTTTAAATGATTCAACACGTTATCCCAACTTCAAACTCCAGCTCTTCAATGTTGATATCATATCAACAGAGCCACCACAACCATTAGCCCAATCATGCGAGTGTATCAAAATGTCAATCAAATATTTGCCCGCCCATAACATTTGGGAAATTCTTAGTGGAGGTTTACTCGTTGTGCCAATCTGCCAACTTCTCAATATTACAAAATGATTCATTAACTTTTACTACATTTTTAACTGTTGCATCAGTTTCATTTAAATCATAAGCCTGCATGTTTTTAAGTAGTAGAAATAACTTTTTTATAAACCAAAGTAAAATCGATGAGGATCCCTTGTTGAAGCAAATCAGAAGCAGAAATTCAAACGAGAAATTATCCATCTAGAAATAAAAATTAACCACAAATACAATATGTAGAATACAGTTAAATTAGTATTCTTCAAGGAACCTGGTTTTTGTTTCTCCGGCTTTTTAATCATGATGGAGATGCCAAGGCTCATGAAGGGCTTGCTGAAGTCGATGACCCTCTCTCTGATGGAGGTGATCGTCAGGGGAGCGATGGCCAAGTCTGCCTCCTATCGGATCATTTTTAGAGTTGCTTCAGCATTTCATTTATTTAATTGATGATAAATCTGACCGGAAGGACTCAACAGACCCCTTATCCGGCCGGAAAAGAACGATTTCTTTTAAGAGAAAATAAGCTTAAAATACTACAAGTAGTTAGTTAAATGGTTATAGCTGAAGACTTTGCTTCGTTGTATTTTATAGAGTAAAAGTTAAACATAGATTTCATATTATTCCAGCAGGATAGCCCACAACAATTTCAATTGAATGATTGATAAGAATGTTTAAAAATATGTCTTTTTCAAATAATGTTTATTTTGTCTCGTGATATAAAATTCTGGACTTGTTTTAAATTCGATTGTACGGTTTTTCAATGTGTCGTTTCGCTTTAAATCGTCCGGTCTCGTCTTGAGTCGATTTGACTTGTATCGTATCGTATCGTCTCGATACCTTCCTAGTGAGTTCTCCGACCATGCCGTTCCACGTGCCGTCAGCCATCCTCTCTCCGTACTTCATGTCCTTCACCAGCTGGATCTTGTACTGGAACTTCAGGTCGTTGGCTACCTGATTACGTCATTATTATTATTATTATTATTATTATTATTGTTGTTGTTGTTATTATTATTGTTTTTATTAATATTATTATTGTTATTATTATTATTATCATCACTATTATCAGTATTTAGTCCGATATTTAAAATTATATTAACATATTATTATTATTGTTATTAATGATAAAATGAAAAAAAAAGAAAAAAAAAACAAATGACCTCTTGGGCGAGGTCGGCCGCGTAACCCTCGTAAAGGTCACCAGACTCGTCGGTCTGCCTCTTCGGCATATAGTAGGGTTTCGACTGCGATGACGTCATTATAGTTGTTGATTTTGTTATTGTTGTTGTTGATGATGTTTTTGTTGTTGTTGTTGATTTTGTTATTGTTGTTGTTGTTGATGTTTTTTGTTGTTGTTGTTGTTTCTGCATCATCATCGTCATCATCACATCACCTCTGTCACTTTTCTCTCCATCATCATCACATTCTTTCAATCGTTATCGTCGTTATCATGGCTACAGCGTTTTAGTCTGCGTCGTCGTCATCATCATCATCACCATCGTCATCATCATCATCATAGTCATCATCATCATAGTCATCTTCATCATCATCTTCATCATCATCATCATCATCATAGTCATCATCGTCATCATCACCATCGTCATCATCATCATCATAGTCATCATAGTCATTACGTTTTGTTATGGTTATCGCCATTTCGATATCGCTATTATTATTATTATTATTATTATCACCATTATTTTTATCATCATCATCATCGTTATAAACCTCGCTCCTACGTGTTACTAGCAGTCATTGTAGTTAATGTCTCTCGTCATCATTTTGATGCCGGTCATCATCATCATCGTCATTAACACGTTCATTCATCCATCATCATCATCATCATCATCGTCATCACCACGTTCAATCATCCATCATCATCATCCTCGTCATCAACACGTTCATTCATCCATCATCATCATCATCGTCATCACCAAGTTCATCCATCATCATCATCATCATCGTCACCAACGATAACAAAACTAGCGTATCGCCTCATCGCGATGTTAATTGGAGAATCAATCCTTAATATGGCGTCGTTGGAGTGAGATTGATAGTATCATCACCCTGTATCCTTCATCAGCTGCATCTTCACGATTGCACTGGCATTTCGTCATCATTCGTGCCGTAATCATCATCATCATCGTAATCATTATCATCATCATCATCATCGTCGTCATCGTCACCTCTATGGTAGTTACGATTCTCGTTCTGTTGGCCGTATCGTTAGTGGCCGGCTTTTTGTTATTGGTGATCTTTGTTATCTCTAGGCCCTTGTTCGAGTCCCATACCCCGATCTTATTGGTTGGTTAATTGGTTGGTTAGTTGGTTGGTTGGTTGGTTGTTTAATTGATTAGTTGTTTGGCTGGCTGGTCAATGCATGTTTATTGATTGATAAGATTGTTAAGTTAATATTGATTAGCCGGTGATAGGTAGATTTTGATTGGTTGGTAATAATTGATAGGTTCTTGGTCATTGGTCGATTGGTTAGTATGTTCATGATGATTGGTCGATGATTCGATGATCGGTTGGTGGTAAAAGTTATCAATTGTCTGTGATTGGTTGCTCAAAAAATAAAAGATGGTGTATTAGTCGAATGATAAATAATTAAATTAAAATAATTTTCAAGAATGAAAATAATTTTGGGATAACAAAACATTCAAATATGATCAATTTTATTGGGAGATTAAAATTATTTTCATTACCCCAGCTATAAACATCAACCCCTTTCTTGCATCCACCATCGCCTTATATCGTCTTCATCATCACCATCATCACCATCCCATCATAAAAATCAGCATAATCATCACTACCATCAACATCATCATCACCATCATCACCATCACCCTCACATTTTCAAGTTCTCCATCGGTCAGCATCTCAAAGACACCCAACTTATAATCCTTCCGAAAGCCACGATTGTCGAATGCTATGCTGCCAGTGAGGCCTGCGTCAATCCGGGTCTGTTCATCGGTCGGTTGGTTGGTTGGTTTGGTTGGTTGGTTGGTTGGTTTGGTTGGTTGGTTGGTTGGTTGGTTGGTTGGTTTGGTTGGTTGGTTGGTTGGTTGGTTGGTTGGTTTGGTTGGTTGGTTGGTTGGTTGGTTGGTTGGTTTGGTTGGTTGGTTGGTTTGGTTGGTTGGTTGGTTGGTTGGTTTGGTTGGTTGGTTGGTTGGTTGGTTTGGTTGGTTGGATGGTTGGTTGGTTGGTTGGTTTGGTTGGTTGGTTGGTTGGTTTGGTTGGTTGGTTGGTTGGTTGTTTTGGTTGGTTGGTTGGTTGGTTGGTTGATTGGTTGATTGGTTGGGTTGGGTTGGTTGGTTGGTTGGTTGGTTGGTCGGTCGGTCGGTCGGTCGGTCGGTCGGTCGGTCGGTCGGTCGGTCGGTTGGTTGAGATAAAGTTTAGAAAAAAACAATAATTTTATATAAAAAAAATGGTCAAATAAAATATCATCATACGTAGTATCACATTTCAATTCTCATGAAGACGTTGATAAATCAACACAGCTCACTTACATTCAACAAACTCCTGGCAATGTAGTATCCGATGTGTCGGATGTCGTAAGTGTCGTAAGATGGCGGGTTCAATCGTCTGCTGGCTTTCCAGAGGTTTTGCTGTTTTCTAGTTGATTGATTTGTGATTTAGTTTGTTGAATGGTTGGTGGTTGGTTGATTGATTATCTGGCTGGTTGGTTGTTTGGTTGATTGGCTGGCTGGTTTGTTGATTGGCTGGCTGGTAAGTTGTTTGGTTGATTGGCTGGCTAGTTGGTTGATTGGTGTTGGTCGGTATTGGTCAGTCGGTTGGTTGGTCGGTTGGTTGCAAAATAATAATAGCATTGGCTGTAGTTATTGTTGAATTGGAATATTAAGCAACCGACCGTTCAACTAATAAAACATCAACACGGATAATATAATCAATTAATTAATAGCAGATCAATCTATCATTTTTTCTAATAATCACCAACCAATCAACCAACCAATTAACCATCCAACCAACAAACCATCCAACCAATCGACCAACCAACCAATTGAATATTAAATTAGCCAATCATCCAGCCAACCAACCGACTAACCAATCTACCAAACAATAGACCACTAAATTAACCAATCGACTAATTAACTAACCAACCAACCAATAGACCACTAAATTAACCAATCATCCAGCCAACCAACCGACCAACCAAACTACCAACCATCTAATCAACCAATAGACCACTAAATTAACCAATCGACTAACTAACCAACCAACCAACCAGTAGACCACTAAATTAACCAATTGACTAATTAACTAACCAACCAACCAATAGACCACTAAATGAACCAATCATCTAGCCAACCGACCTCAGTTGATTTCCCTTATTGACCAACAAGCGCATCATGTTGTCGTGTTCGATGGAGAAGTTGTGGAAGCATTCGTGAACGAGCAGCATGGCATCTATCAGGAGGATCTGCTCTATCTGATGGAGGGAAGGTCAGTGTACGTTGTATTGCAAGGGTTCATTCAGTGTTCAATCCTCAACATTAGACCAAAATTTAACAATATATACACCACATAAACACGCAACCGCAATACATTCACACACACAATTACATATTAATCAAAATAAAAATAAATAAATAAAAACAAATAAAAACAGAATAAATAAAAAAAAAAAATAATGTTAAATAAATAGTCCAAAGTGGAAAATTCTCATAGGTGTTCCTTCATTATCATCCGACATACATCAACCATTAAAATGTATCTTACAACATTACAATTATTATTCCGATATCATCTAGCATTAAACACCAGCCCCAGAAAATTATCACGCAAAGTTCACTACCTACAATTCCAATCAACCATCAATACAGGTATGTTTTCAATTCGTTTTTAAACTATTGCAATGACACAAGTGGTCTTCGGATGGGCAGAGGTGGGTCATTCCACACCTTCGACCCATACACAGCAAGCTTTTGTGACCCAATCTTCAGTTTTGCTGTTAAGTATTTTGAATATTTGATCTTAAGACCTTGCCATGAGCAGTCGTATCCTTGAATGTAAGCAACTCCGCTAAATATCGTGGTGTCAGACAGTTAAAACAACTGAACGTTGAAACGCAGATTTTGAAAGAAATCCTTTTCGCCATCACTAACCGGTGCAAATCTCTAATAAATGGAGTCACGTGATCGAAATTCCAACCACCCATTACTTCATGTTCTACCAGACAGGACCATTGCAATTTTACTCGCCTTATCACCGTACGACAGACTGTTACAATATTCCAAACGGGAGTGGATAAATGAAAGGATCAGTGCCACCAACACATTCCTGCTGACCAATTTTTTAATCCGTTCTAATTGACCTTATATGATCTCGCATGGTCATGTTTGCGTCAAGTGTGAAACCAAGTATGATGGCTGATTGTTCTAATCTGTCAGTGGCTTCATCTATTTTTATTCTTTCCAAACATACCTTTGATGTCTGCTACCATGTACCAATTGGAACTAGGTTAGTTTTGTCTTTGTTCAACTTGATGCCAAATTTTGACATCCAAGTATTTACTGCAGATAACGCATCTTTCATTTTCCGCTAACTTCTCAAACCTTTCAACAGGGGCACTTGACATCAACTGAATGTCATCAGGGCATGCGTGACATTTCATGTCGTGGCTGTTCGTGGCATCAAAAACGTCAGAAGTCTACGAGTCCGATACTTCCATTTCAAAGATCAAACTATATCCATCTTCAATAGTTCCTGGCAAAATCCAATAATTCAGTTTGAAGTGATTTTTTGTTTGAGTAACACCAAATTTTTTGAGCAATCCACTCACGTATTCCAGTGCATTACTAACCAATTTTCTTAAAATTTCTGCGGAATTTCTGTGAAATTTCTGTGAAATTTCTGTGAAATTTCTTGGACCTAACCTGAATAACGATTATGCTAAATGAATGTATAATTTTTATCTTATCGGCATGTGTCTCGTCTGTTATTATTTAACTATTTCAATATCTTTTAAGTATTCTGGCTAATGTAATTAAATCGTTTTAATAATAATTTTATTTGTCCGCAAGAGTCTCATATGTAATCTTCTGTCTATTTCACATTCTATTACTATCTTCGGTCTTGGGACTATGGACATGGAATAGGATTCTGCTCTATGTTAATGATTCCAACTCATTTGATTTACATACCAAATCGAGTATTCATATTCACACTTTGTCGTGTTTAGTAGTCCATCAACTTTTAAATTTTTGAATCAACCCTCCCAACGAAAAAATCTGGAACGGCTTTGGATTAAGAAGAGACGACGAGATGGTGTGGATAGTGTTATAATGGCAAAGGTGAAGTTAATATGAGTTGTGGTCATGAAAAGTGGTCAGATTTTGATGATGGCAACAATACTGATGATGATAATGCATTAAAAATAACAATCAGGATAATTTTTAAAAAACTGATGTAAAAAAACAACATCAACAATGATGTTGTTGATGTTGTCATCAACAACAACATCGACAACATTAACCTGAACAACAACATTAACCTGCACAACAACATTAACCTGCACAACAACATTAACCTGCACAACAACATTAACCTGCACAACAACATTAACCTGCACAACAACAACAATATGCCGTTTTTGGACGATCAGAAATATTTTTAAGGCAATCAATTCGACGATAAACAACAAAAGTGACGCCAAATAACTCCCAGCTCCATTAATTTCTAAAGCGCTACACAGGCAGTCATCTTCAGAAGCCATTAGTACGAAACGCTGATGTAATTAGATGGATGTTATGATTTATGCTCACTCATTAATACTTGTAATTAATTCTGTAATAATTACGAACCTACACACACACGCACGCACGCAGATTTTTGCGCTACTAAATCTACAATATGTCATCAAGCAATTGATCAATCAATCTATCAACTAATCAACCTCTCAACCATCTAGCTGATCAATCTATCAATCAATTAATTAATCGATAATGCGTGAACGCTCAAACAATCAATCAGTCTATCGATAAGTCAATCAATTAGACTGCCAGTCAATCGCTCAATCTATCAGCAAGCAGTAAACTTAACAAACTTAAAAATATTACAATTAAATTAGCAATTAAATTAACTTTTTATTTTAATATGCATAAAAACCAAAGTTAATTTAGATCATTTTACAAATTTTTTAATGTGTTAGTCGTAAAACTTCAGCCTATGAACTAAACCGAAGCACTCAAACTTGATGTTGGCGAGAAGATGGGTGCAAAATTATTTAATTTATTGAAAATTGTTATACTCTATATGCAATACTTTCCTATTCATAATTGAGATTTCATGCCCCACCGTGGACCAACCATCACCGCACTTCAGCAAAAGTTAGGGTCCCTTGTTTGGGAGGTTCCACCCGCGTGGGAGTTCGTCCCACTGAGCCTCCAGATAATCTTCACCAGATATCTCACTGCTTACTTTATAAAATGCTTAATTAATGTGTTATAGAGTTTTGAATGTTTTCAACCTTGATGGGTACATGTTTTCAACCTTGGTGGGTACATCTCTAATTATTAAGGCATAAAATTCTTTGTACAAAACACTGCTTAAATTCCATGCAACTGCAACAAAAAATAGTTTCCCTCGTTCCAGATGCCTTGACGACGAGATAAATTATTGAAGGAGCACTGGTCGGTGGACGATGTTAATGATGACGACGATGGTGACGATGGTGATTTTGGCAAGGATTTCAAAACATTATTATTTAGATTATTTAGAAATATGGTGGTAAATAATGCAGAAACACGGTTAGTTTCGCATTTAAAGTTTAAAAGACCGTACATGCATCAGTGTGAAACCCTGTGTGATAAAATGCTACATATGTTACAAAACTAGGTGAAATAAAACATCACTCCATCTTTTACTGAAAGGCAGAGCTATTTGCCTCCAGAGATATCATTGTTGTTTATAGAATTAGATTTCAAATAATACTTCTTTCTAATAATTCTTGCTTGCTAATACTTCTAGCAAGCAAGAATGTCTGGATTGTAAACCGTCAACAAATGAAATCATCGTGCCAGTTAAGTCAATTTTAAACAAATCGATAATTTAATCAACCATCTTGCATTTTACAAGAAACAATTATTATATGTTGACGATTCTTCTTTCTTATTGTTTTTTTGTACGTATGGATCTCTTTGCTTTTGATACCGCCCACTATGTCTTTAGCCATTTCAGTTTTAAAGTTATCTGGCTTCTACACTGATACCCGGGGTTCTTTTAGACACATTAACAGTTTGACATATACGAAAAAATCATGATTATTCTTAAGAGTCAATGTCTTCTGTTTGAATAAACTCTAAACTAAAAAAAAATTTTGTGAAATTATATATTAATTAAATAATAAAGATAAATAAATAAATAAATAAATAATTGAATAAAATCTTCTTTGCAGTTTAGTTGCCGAAGAATGTCCAGCGATTTTTTGATAACTTTGTTCTTTCTACAATAGTGACTTACCTCAACTCAAATGAATGTTCACTTTATACTGTTTGTGAATTATTGCATTTATCACTCAGTACTTGAAACGTTTTTGTGCAACAACACGTGCTATTAGACGTGTTGTTTGTTTGCGCGGTGTTCTGCTGCCTGCTTTGCCAGGTCTGTCGGGGCTTGGCTGAATGAAATAGAGCAGAGGAAAAATTTTAAAAATTCATTCATAAAAATATAAAAACATTTTGTTCACTAAATGGTTCTGACACATACCACACAACTGCTGCGATATACTTATTGAACTATTCTCATTAAACTATTCCCTCACATATAAAGACCAGACTTTCATTTCACATGAACATAAACGTTCCCACGTTAATGTATCAATTTCATTCGCCATGAAATCCACTCAGTCACCTCAAACTAACTTCATTCACTCGTTTACTTTCCTTGTGCATAAATGGCCAATACTGATTTCCTTGCCTATGTGGAATACCCTTAACTTGCCAGGAACTCAGGACTGCATTTAGAATCATGAAACCCTTAAGCAACGAAGTAGCAAAGACCTTCAGGGGCGGATCTAAAAGGGTCCCCATTGTGATCAGTATTTTTTATTAAAAGTCACTATAACCCATTTTTACAGAGGAAAGCACCGCCAGTTTTGGTCACGCTAACAAAAATTTGGTTAGTTTTGCGGCCCTACCGTAAAATTTCCAAACTGAAGTTTTGTCAAAATGTTGGCTCTCCACCGTCAATGTTGTTCAGATGGAGACCCTGAATTGTTTTCAAAATAAATCTCATGTTTTGATCCTTTCTTTTTGGGCCTCTGACTTGTGGGGGCCTTAGGGCAATACCTCCCCTCTCCTTACATGTCTCCATTTTAATCTTGCTCTGACAACTATTTGGATAATGCTTAAACAATGAAGATAAAGTTGAAGAATAGATGTATAGACTGGTGAGCGATTAGGGGCCACCAGGGTTTTCAGTTTGACAGCTGGTGAATTTAGAATACCCCTAGATGTGAGAAGTCTTTCCATTCAGAACAGTTATGTAAAGAGCAGGCTTTACAATAATTATGTCGTAATAATATAATAATTATGTTATTTATAATATAATAATTATGTTGTAATAATAATTAAGTTGTAATAATAATTAAGTTGTTATAATAATTAAGTTGTAATAATAATCATGTTTTAATAGTAATTTAGTTGTAATAATAATTAAGTTGTAATACTAATTATGCTATAATAATAATTATGTTGTAATAATAATAATTATGTTGTAATAATAATAATAATTATGTTGTTGTAATAATAGTAAAAATGCTGTAATGATTCATGGAATGTCAAGGCATCAAGCGACGAACCTATGGCGGATGTCAATCAAACAGTTCGCGATTATAACCACCAGAACAACGACAAACAACTGTCTGAACATAAACAACTACATAAACAACTACATAAACAACAACTACATAAACAACAACAACAACTACATAAACAACAACAACAACAGCATGAACAACAACAACAACGTAAACAACAACAACATGAACAACAACAACATAAACAACAACATCAGCATGAACAAAATCATATACAACAACGAAAAAACAACAAATGAACAACAGCATGAACAACAACAACATT